ACAAAATAAAATTGCTGTTGTTTTCCAGTAGATAATTCAGTAAATCTTTAAAATGTCTGGTTGTGACCAACTTGTATCTACACACACCGGCAGATTTAGCGGAACGCAAAAAAAAGTATGAAAATAAGGAAAATTACTACTGATCTAAGAAATATTTATTATACAAAATAAAGAGATAATTAAAATAAAATAAAATAACATATATTTTTTAAATATTTAGTCGTTTTTATTTAATAAAAAATCATCGAAACGAAATTTCAATTTTTCAGTTTTGAACAAAAATTAGAAATTGTGGCCAGATTAAAAATTAGGGTAGCTTATCACTATCCAAATGAATGAATTAATGATGGGTATTTCCCCCTCTTGCTCTGATGATGGTTTCCATTCATCTGAGCATGCTGCAGTTAATGATATGAAGGGTATTTTGGGGCAATGTCTGCCATTCCTCTAGTAACGCGTTTCTCAACACCACCGGTGGTATTCTGAGTTTAACACATCTTTTAAGAAAGTCCAAGACATGCTCTATAGGATTCTTGTCTAGGGNTCCAAATTAGCAAAAGCTTCATTCAATTCAAAACACACAACGAAACTGTTGATGGGGTAATTTAAACAAAATAATTAAAAAAATATACTGTTGGCAATTATTTTTTCATATTTAGAATTAAATTAAAAAATAATGTCATAATTAGGCATTTTTTTCCTAAAATAATGATGATATTGATGCTTTTTTTTCCGTTCCTCTAAATCTGCCGGTGTGTGTACATACTTGGGTGATGTTGACCTCTTGCCATCAGGTATTCTATAAGCACGCTTGCCTACTCTTACATAAAAATGTAGAAAATTCAATACAATTTGATGATACTCGTACTTTCTACTGTCCAAGAGTGATAGGTAGTAAATACACCAATACAATACAGCGCAAAAAGTTTCTGTGTTTACAAACCTTTAACGGTGAGTCGTCCTTCTCAAAATAGAATACGCATTTAGTTTGCGATTATTGCAAACCCTTATTGCGATGTTTGCCGGTTTGTAGTTATGCGTAGGCATGTGGGCTACCCTTCTTCAAATTATTTACTTTGCTAGAAATCTGTCTTTACATCATTCATTCGTGTGACAATAACATTGTGGATTTAAAAATGCTGTTGCCCGTCAGCTGAAAGTAATTCCAGCTGTGATTTTAAAGATAATAAATGCTTTTACTTATTTTTAAGGATTCTCTATTTCAAAATAAACAAATAATCGATATACCTAATATCACTTCATTGCCCATTTAATATGAATAGTCTTCTTTAAATTCACATCATGTACCTAGAGCTATACTAATATTTGGATCCTGTGGAATGATTAAAAAAGAATCTATAAGTCAATAAAATATAGAATTGGCTGTTATATTTTTAGAATTCTTATGTAAATTAAACCCTACAACTAAAATAATGTAATTTGCTACAAAGCAAAGCCTACTATGAATTCATTTTTATACTTATACTCGTATAGAAAAAGCTAGAATGTAACATACATACGAGTATGTTGCATGAGACAAATGAGGATTTGAAACCACGACTCTCATTGGCTTGACTTCACCATTAAACATTTATGATCTAGTATTATTAGTTTAAATAGGTACTGATAAAAAATTTAATCTTAAAATAACGACCACTCCAAAGCTAGCGAGACGATCACTCAAAATGAGTAATGATAAAATTATTCGCACTGGTAATCTCCGTGAGCAGTGTTGACAAAACTTTTAATTTTAAAACAAATCCGAGCACGATCTACGAGAATGACCAGACGAATACTCTGATCAACAGGCAGCTTACCTCGATGTTCTTCAGGGTTCAATTTTGCCACCAACACTCTTCCTGCTTTCACATTGATCACCTGTTTGGATTCCAAATCATTGCGTTTTTAGACGACGTCACTTGTCCAGTACTCGTATATGCAAATGGATATGTTACAGGAAATGTATGAATTCTAGGAATTGTATACTATTCCTAGGAAATGTATACAATTCCGAAGCTATTTAGGAAATGTATAAAATATTGCTTCAGAGATTTTTTAATACGCACATATCCTAGGACATGTATACTTTTCCTAGGAATTTTATAGAATTCCAATATTGTATTAGGAAATGTATAAATCTAAGGGGCACAAGCGCGGTCGTGTGATCGGGTGCCCCTTAGTACGCCTAAAATTTCATTTAGCCAAACCACTTTGGCCGATAGATACTTTTAACTCACAACTATTATTGTTTAGCCTGACAGTTGTTTTCGCTATATTATACTTTGGCCGAAAAAAATACTTGCCTAGAAGGTTTGAAAGTATGAAGGTTTTAGTACTCCTGTAGCTGGATAACAAAGTCTCGGTTAGGTTAGGTTAGACTTGCGACCTTACACATACCTACACAGCTGCTGCGGCGCAGTAGCGCCATTTAAGTTTCGGAGAAAAAAAGAAATCTTAATTACATTTCCGATTGCTGTTTAGGAAATGTGTAAATTTCCTAGGAAATGTGTCTAATACAATTTACATCACACATTTCCGGGTGATTTTAGGACTTATACACAATTCCTAGGAATTGTATACAATGACGGATTTCATACATTTCCTGTAACAGATATAAAAACAAAACAATAGAGTGTATGATGTTTGGTAAAAAAAAAATCTATGGCAAAAACTGCTGCCAACATAAAACTGGGCACTGGTGCGAGTAAGTACATCCGTTATATAGGACGGTTTAAAAACTTATTTCAGCCACCACAAGGGGTGAGGTTGAATTCTGGACAGATAAACCTACCAATTAGTTTCCACTTTGGGCTCAAACAACTAAGGATTGACCGCTTTATGGGTAGCAAAACTAAGTCTTATTCAAATACTTCCATTATCAGGGTTCAAGCAGATTCGCAGAATCGTCACTAGGTCAGGCGCTAGGCGGTGCCCTGGTTCCATAATACAGATGTTCTGTAGAAATTATACTTGACTACTTCCACGAGTACTCGTAGGTCTTTTTAGCGGAGGAGGGCCCCAGATATTTCTAAGGGTTAAAGTTTTCTACAGTTCATAAATAGTACCCAGTACCCACCCACCCACACCTTAAGCTAAACCGTTCAGTTTATGACTCCACTTTTAGTTTTCTTATTTAAGTGATGCGAATACGAGTAGCTTAGACTTGCATTTAACTTTATTCAATTCTGCTGAACTGAATCAATTCATGCGATCAAAAGCTACGATATGGGATCCGACAATGCTAGCTGCAAGTCTTACGTAGATTCGTCCAATATGTAGCAGCGAAAAGAATTTGTTTTGATTAAAATAAGTAGCTTCAGCAGGTCGTGGTTTATACACATACTCATATATGGTTAAAGAAAAGCGTTTTGTAAAAATGTAGTAGCAAAAATCACTGGATTTTTTCGATGCAATAATTTAATGTTTTCCTTTAGCAGAGAAGGGATTGTTAGACTTCCAGTAAATTAATTCCATTACCCTCTCATATGAAAGTAATTAAATTTCCAAATTGATTACTTGCCATGTGTTCGAAAACGTGATAATTATGACGATTAGTTTATTTGCGAAAGGATCTTGAGTGGATTGTTCGTGATGGATGTCAATTATGTGGCGTAAGATCATATCTTCACAAATGGCTCGAGTCAACTTTGTGTTATTAACTCTTACTTTTTGAAGGTTCTTTTTTATGGAATTGGCCTATGTTTTAATATAAGCTTTGATGAAGCATATCAATAACATAATTGAAAGAAGCTATTTGATATTTTCCTCCATTCTTTAGTAGAATTGTTGCGTAATAAAAACAAAATTTTCCATAATATGGGCCACTTTCACCAGTTCTTGGTAAATTTTCCTTATCTGATATAGTATGTACCTAAATATCCAACAAATAAAGGTTGGTGATTACTAGTGACTTTTTCCAGTAGGTAGTCATTCAACCTCATTCAACAGACTGACTATGGCCCGTTTGAAGCGAACACCAACCTTTTTCTTGGCCTCCGCCAGGCCATCAGTATGTTTGTTCTTTGGTCCTTTTTTGTTTAATACGAACATAATAAACATAGTTTCTCTTAATAAAGTATTGCACTCTACATAATATAAACAATAAAGTCGCTATTTTCCTTTACATTTTCCAACCACCGGAGAGCGAAGCCACTTTTATTTTCCTGCCATATACTCGTGCAGTGAAGAAGTTGAATTTCCCGAAAATCTTACCTTCGTTCCAGCAGATATTGAAGCAATATTGAACGGTGTTACGGGTTAACAGTCCGGTGTTTCTCTTACCTTAATCTTGTCTCTCCCCTGAAATATATTGTTCTCCCTGTATGTCAGTTACGTAATTCTTTGGTTTGAATTAAAACGATTAGAACATGCTTTTTTAATTTATGGTTATGTCTAATAACGGCACGCTAGACTCAGTATTAATTATGGGTTTGCATGAGGTCTAATGAAGCTAATAATATTTTAATAAGTCTTATATGCTAAAGTATTAAAAGTATATTATTGCTGTATTAAAAGAAGCGTCTTCGAAATTGATGTGACAGCTTTAATTTGTTGATTTCAAGGTTTGATAAATTATTCAATGCCAGCACTCCTGTGCATAACACATTGTCATTTTCGCCATAGAAACTTCCATGTTGGCTGTGACTTTTTTCCATAAAGCGTAATCTTGTTTAGCTTTGCCATGTAAATTAAACTCGAACAAAATACCCGCATCAATATCGTCGGACATGTCTCACTAATCCAGCGTCTTTCATCCAGTCTTATTTACGAACTCCGTCATAAACCACTTTTCTTATTTTGCCAATCATCGAGTTCGCCCGAAGGTTATAATTTACATAAAAACAATGAAACTGAGACTCGGCGTGGAAAACTTGTTAGCACTTCGTAACTAGGTACCCACAGGTTTGGGACTTCTAATTTTGTATCATCTGATTATGTATTGATAAGAAAATCAAATAACAAAAGCCTTAATCACGTCGCTTTTATCCTTGACATTACAGTCTCATAATATTTTTTCACATTTCTTTCACTCTCTTGTTACAGGCAGCAGAGAGTGGAAATGTGGAGGACTTCATGCGATTGTACCTCAGTGAGCCATCTCGGCTTGCTGTGAGGGACGTGAGGGGAAGAACCGCAGCCCACCAGGCTGCAGCCAGAAACAACACTAATATACTGCATTTTATCAACAACTATGGAGGAGGTAAGAGATTTGAATAATTTGCTGGATAAAATACAAATCTAGTCTGTAATAAGTTGGTAGAAACAGAAATTACAATCTGGGTAAAAATAAAGAGTTCAAAGAATAAGAATTAAGAATATTTTATCCATAAAATCTAGGTTTTTATACTTTTAATTAAATGTATTGGATCTGATGAAGTCACAAAATAATGGCGAGGTATACTTCTTTTGTCCCGAAGTCAATTACCGTTGTGTGGGTAGTGAGGAGTTATTCGTCATCTCGCACCTCTAAAGATGCTAGTTGGCGCCTTCTGTTTTTTATGTCATCAACTCGCACATTTTTGAAATATGACGTGTTTTTGTAAAGTCATTAGTCATCTACAAAAATGTTTTAATAAATTACTTAAAGGATTGTGTAAGCCACTTGCAATGAGTTGAGTTTAATAATAAAACAAAATGAACTTTTCAGATAGGTTTATATTATAAATCAACATGCTAATAAATATAAATCGGGAAGAAACAAATTTTCAACAATATCACAATGTCTTGAGTATGTAAACTGTGTACTATATTATTTAAGTAGTCGTCAATGGTGGTAGTAATGTGCTCATCAATAGCACAGGTTTCCTTTAATTTCACAGTTATGTCAGACTGCTTTATATATAATGTTTGAAAGTAACTATCTTCTTCTTTTAACATGGTCAAAAAATGTGCAATGCTTTTGGGTTTATTATTTACCCTTTTATTTATTGTAGCATGCCAGCTCTCGACCATGTTAGTAGTGCGGTGTTGCATATTGTTACATGACCATTTGTCAGCAAAAAATGAAGTTTCCTATAACCAGGTCTTGACAAAATAGTCATTGAATTTTACAATATTATCATCTTTCGGACATTGAGACATTATATAGAGCCAACCACTTTCAACGGCTTCTTTGGGCAAATGTGCCAAAACTATACACCTTCTAACATGTTTTCTTGACAATGCAGATTTCGTTAATCCTAGTTCCTCAGCTTTCCGCCACAAACTTCGTGAGAAACGGAAGAAACACCCTCTGATGCTTGTTTCAGGGAATATTTCTTTGACTGCCAACATTGCAGCCTTCTCGAAGTCAAGTATTATGGTTTTGGGATTAAACTCAGGAATTTGACTCTTAATAAGGCGAAACAAAATTTCGTAAGTTACTCTTGCTTTGTTAGCCAACAACGCATAAATCACAGGTATAATATTAGTATGAGTTTTACTACTACCTAAATCAATGTAGGCTGTACAACTGCTGGAAAGGATTTAAACAGAATTTAAAAGTACCATCGCATAAAATTGTCAAATTAGGATTTGCTAAGATGTGTTTACAATGTTCACCAGCGAATATTAAAATTCTATTTTGTGTATGGTAGGGCAGGTGACCCGGTTTTGGCCATTTTAAGAAATTTTTAGACTTTGAGGCTATGTCATTTTACAGTTTTTGTTATCACGGACTTATTTCTTGTAAAAAGTGATTAAATATATTAAGATCTAGCCTAAGGATATATATTTTTTCATAATGATTCAATGGAAAAATAATCCTGTAGAAAAGAAAAAGAAATGGGAATTTGTGCCATTTCTGGCCAGCTTTACCCCATTTCTGGCCACAGTCATGTGCCAGTTCTGGCCATCAAAATTCATAAAAAAAAAACAAAAACTACTCGATGGATTTTAACGAAACTTGGTACAATTATTTTTCATACTCTTAGGCAGGTTATAGTATACTTAGGAATTCCCACGGGTACGGGAATTAGCGGGAAAATACTTTTGTATGAAAAATCTAAACTGCTTAAGTTAGACGCTTAGGTACTTTAACCAAAATCGAAAAAGTGCCGAAGACAAAAAAAAAAAAAACGTACCAATGTGTCCATACTCCAGGAGCTCGGTGTCACTCAGCGTTTATCAACCGTAGTACAGTCGCGCATACTGCAATACTTCGGACATGTCTCGAGGCGGGATGACAACTCCATAGAACGACTGGTCGTCCAGGGAAAAGTCGAAGGAACCCGATCACGTGGCAGGTCACCAATGCGCTGGACCGACCAAGTGAAAGCAGCAGTGGGAGACGGCTTATGTGACTGCACCAGAAAGTCTGCCAATAGAGAGAGATGGAGGGAGATCGTGCGGAGAGTTGTATCCGCCTCTACAACCGATGTAAACAACGCCTCAACGTGACCACGACCGCTCTGCCAAGAGCGTAACGACTAAGAAGAAGTCGTTCCTGGATGAACCTGCTTGAGATCCACTTCCTAAAAATATGTGTTTCATGAAAAACTTTTTATACATATGTACCTACATTATACATATTTAAAAGCCAAATAAAGATAAAATAAAACATTCTTTAGTAAGTAATAATAATTATGGAAAATTAACGTGTAATTTATTTTACGGTGGAGTCACTAATAAAAAATTAAGGACAACTTAGTTAAAGTGAACAAAACAAATAGGTATACCAATACGTAAATTAATAAAGTTCAATTGTTAGAATAATGAGTTAATCTGTGACATAACTAAGCAATCATCCTCATCATCATCATCATCTCAGCCATACGACGTCCACTGCTGAACATAGGCCTCCCCCAATGCTTTCCGTGTTACCCGGTTGGTAGCGGCCTGCGTCCACAGCGTCTTTGTTGATGCAAAATATAATTACATCTTGTTAGCCTCGTATCAATAAAAAAAATAGGAGCAACAAAATATTTTTAGTGCACCTTAAAAAGTTAATTAAATCATTATAAACTTACCGCCACAGTACATCAAAGTCATCAAAAACATTTTCATCCACATTTTTCAACTGCACAAACAGTAAAATAAATAAATGCTTATTTATTATGTAGATAACTTGTAAATTCGAGTAATGAAGAGCGCGAATTTTTTTTTTAAAACAATCTCCGTCTATGAAAAAAACGTGTGAGGTTTCTTGCCGGCCAGTGCGCGCGGCTAAGGAGGCCGGACAGCACAATATTATTATTGTAAGTAAAAATGAATTTAATGATTTTTATAAGGATTTTTCAACTGCAGGTCCACCTGCTCCTGTGTCCACTCATGGTGCTCCAAAGAGTGCTCCATATTTCTTTTTGGTTAGTCTATATTGTTTGTTAGCAATTCGATAGTATACAGGACACGAAGTAGCCGCTGTATTAACTAATAACTCGTCCAATTTCTTGCGAGAAAAATTTACATGAAAGTTTATGCCATTATCACAGATTATAATATTGGGTTTATCTAGGAAATTAGCGTTTTTTTCTTCAATATTCATTAATACATAATTCCTTCCATATTATAGATATGTCATTTTTTTAGAGTTCCGTAGTCCTGACAAGGAACCCGTAACCCGTAAACATTATACATTTATTTGCTAAGAAAAGCGACGTCCACTCATTTAACACGAGACATATTTCTTAATAAACTTGCTATTCCATCTTTTAGGTTGCTTAAATATTTTTACAGATACCAATATCCAAAAATTTTTACTAATCGTTTCCTATAGCTTTAATGTTGTTTTAATCAACCCACAAAATTTTATAAAATTTAAATTTGTGGTTTCTTAAAAATTCGCAAAAAAATTTTAGTATCTATGGAAATACTTAATACATTTTCGTATTCTCCATAATCTACATATAATATAAAAATGAATCGCAAAATTAATGTGTTGGTAAGCGCATAACTCAACAACGCCTGGACCAATTTTACCAATTCTTTTTTTTAAATGTTTGTTGAAGTCCAAGGATGGTTTTTACAGCGAGAAAAAGTTTGAATAATTTCCGGGTAAATCCTAAAAAACTCGAAACTTCACCCCTAAGGGTAAAACGGGGTCCACGCGTACGAAGTCGCGGGCGGCCGCTAGTAATAAATAATTTCATAAGTAAGGACCTAGTACCTATAAATAATTCCTAATAAAACACATTTATTGCAAATAAATAATTTGAATATGTAAATAAAATTATCTATTGGTAGAAGAGAAAAGATACACGAATTTCATACATTTTAAGGGAGTAAGAATGGATTTAAGTAAAAAAAACATGTCATTTTTACCTCCCTTACGGTTATTTTACAACACAAGAAAAACCAGATATTCCACAAAACGAATGTAAATTTATTAGTCTACTGTCCGTTTTCACCATCAATCCCTAATTTTTAAGTGACCCCTATGGTGACACTTAACAGGAATTTTGATTACAAAGGGGTCACTTAAAATTTAGGGATTGATGGTGAAAACGGATACGTATTTTAGTTTCGACGTTATTGTTGAACAAGGATACCCCTTCCCAGCGGTTCCATGCGCGGTTAACATGCGAATGATGCGAATATGCGTCAAAGAATCCCTTAAAGTTTGATCACTACATGCCCGACACACTGAAAGTTTTTAGATTCAATTAGTTTTTATTTGACTGTACTTTTGAAAAGGTGCGAGTTGACGAACAAAATAATAGGTAAAATCGGAATTTCCCACCTCGCACCTGTTAGCGAGTTTGACAGGTGCGAGATGACGAACAACCCGTAGTGAGATCTTACAAATGACTCACTTATATTGTAAATAATAGCGAGAAACTCAATTTAAACTATTTTAATAAACATTTTGTTTTGTTGTAGATTTAAATGCTAGAGACAATACGGGCAATACTCCTCTTCATGTCGCGGTTGAAAGCGAAGCTCTTGATGCTGTAGAGTTCTTATTGCAACAGTAAGTAAATGCCATGGTTACCATCATCATCATCATCATCGTTTCAGTCACAGGACGCCCACTGCTAAACATAGTAAATCATAAAAACCACCATCAAATACTTCATTTATACACAAATATTTATTTATGAAAGGTTCACAAAATGGGTAGGTTTACGTTTTTTAATCAGCGCTGTACTGATTTTATGTCACACAATAGAAATATTTCCAAAGCTCGAGATCTTTTTGAAACCGATCCGTCTTTATGATTTTAAATGAAACACCTTCCTTTAAATCTGTAAGCGCTGGGATATTTACTTTCCAGGGACGCGGTATCAATTCCAAAAGAACCATTACACTGTAATCTATCCGTTTCTTGGTACAAAGGGCATCGCACTGTAAGCTGCATTTTATCAGTCTTAAGAATAGGTGCACGATAGTGACTTAGCCAAGATCTCGCTATTTATTTCCATTTTAGCATTTTGATTACACAAACTTGGATACGTGTTTTGATCAAGCATAGCATAGATTAGATATTGGCTAATTTTTCAATAGTCAGATATCTTTTAACTGAAACTTGTCATTTTGGCATATTTTCCATACTGAAAATGTCAATGTGCCAAACTTATTCTTCAGTTAAAAGTTATCTGACGGTTGAAAAATCAGCCCTTAATCACTCAACTACACCATACAACACAAATCAGTGTTTAAAATTTTAAAACATAAGAAGTGATGGCGATGTTATTCCACGGTTGTTATAGAACAACCGGTCTGTTTTTTCCTTTTCTCATAGGAGAAAAGGAAAAAACAGACCGAACAGATCGAATTGTATTTCGACCTGTACTTACCACGCGGGTTTGAACGTCTTATCTGTTACAGGCACGTCGATACTGGGGTCCTCAATGAAAAGACCCAAGCACCAATTCATTTGGCTACTGAATTAAATAAGGTAAGCTTTTGTTTGTTGTTTTATTTAATTTAGACTTTGAGGATTTTATCTCAATTGTTTGGTTACATAAATCTAGTCGGCATGTTTCGTTAAATAAACGAACCTAAGTCTGACTTGCAGTAATTCAACCATAATTATCTGCCTAATAATGACAGATTATTAGGCAGATATTATTATTATGAATTTATTATTTATGAATTTTGAATAAAACTTGATGAAATGAAATTCAGGTTTTTTGTTTTTTAGCACATATTTATGTTTTTTTGTTGTGGTTAATATTCTAAAATAGGTATCCTTCCGTTTGGCCAAATTACTTTTCGCCAAATTTCACTTCGCAAACAACTTATCGCCAACGTTTCATTTCCCAAATAAACTTTTAGCAACTGTACTTTTCGCAACTAATTCATTTGGTCAAATTATCATTTGGCCAAATTTACTTGGCAAATGTTTATGCAGCAAATGTTTTATTTTGCCAAAAATTATATCCCAAATAATTTGTTTGGTCAAATTGACACTTCACCTACTTACCCACCGTTACCCACAAATCAAAGCATAAGCCACGATCGTGGTTTTCACAAGAAGTTTATGTAAAACAAAGAGATTGCAGAAAATAGTATGGTTGCAGAAAGTAGGTATTGCAGAAAATAGTAGGTTAGGTTAGGTTAGAACAGTGACCCTTAACGCGCGAAGGCGAGCGAACGGAGCGAGCGAAGCGAGCGAAGTGAGCGTGCCGCGGCAGCGGCCGCCGAGCGCTAGAATCACCTCTATTGTTAATGAATCATTTGGAAATTTCGATAAAAAGAATGAAAGATGAAAATTAATTAAAAAAAAAATATTTTAACTACCCACTAAATAAAATAATAACCACAAGCTCATTTGTATTCTATTCTATGCACCAATCAAATTATTTTGTAAATAGTTTATCATGAAATATTTTTGCCAAATGAAACATTTGGCAAAACATACTTTGCCAAACAATAATTTGCTAAACAACAATATGCCAAAAACGACATTTGCGAATTAAAAGTTTGCAATAAGTTGTTTTGCCAAATGAGAATTTGCCAAATGAAAATTTGCGAAACGTTGTTTGCGATGTGATAATTTGGGAAACGTTTTTTGGCCAAACATTAGTAATCCTCTAAAATAATGTTTATAAAACTAAAAATATTGATCAGTAGTTCCGCTTCAATCAAACCTCCTTTGGTTCTCGTATAGTTAAAGATTTAATATTGTTACTTGGAAAGAAGAAATGCAAGACATAAAAAGCATCAGACTAAGATTAAGCTCAAAGGGATATTAAAATTATTCTAAAGTTTATCTTCTTTTTCAGTGTTTTGGTAAATATTAATAAGAGTTACCAAAAGCGTCTTTTGTTATTATACTTTTAGTTTCATTTACCTACATAGGAAAAAGAATCCTAATTTACAGAGAAATGTTCTGTTCTATATCGTTCTAAAGAACGAAGCCAAAATTAAACCAGACTTATTTCAGAATAAGTAATTGTATCTAAAAAGTGATAATAATATTTTATGAGCAATGAGCATGCTATACAAAGTTATTTTTCATAAAACATACTTTATTCAACATAACGTAAATGATTTGCTGGTGAACTTGATTTAATAACACAAGTGTCATGAAACGAGGTTTTTTACTGTCAATACACGTTCAGTAAAGCGATACATGTTCTTCATATTCTCCTTATGACTTACAGGGTTTCATGAAAGTATAGTGATACAGTAAATACTTTTGGATAAAATGGCCTTGGGCAAAAAGTATCAAACTTCAAATTAGATCTCAAGTTACGGCTACAAATTGAAGTCCACGATACTGAAACATAAAGCTTAGTTTAGGAATACTTATCGTCCTGTGGGCCTAAGATGCGCGCCGTGAATGCCGTGATAACTTTTATCTTCATATAAAATCGATAAAATGGCGTGATAACCGCTTATCGCGGCGCGCATCCTAGACCTAGAGGTCTTCTTTTTGTTTATTTAATAATCACGAGATAAACAAACCTATCGAGTAATTATTAACCCTTACCTTAAAACACACTCATTGAACACTGTTTAAAAGTGTTATTTCCATACTAAACGCCACTTTAAAACACTTCAACGAGCGTGTAATATTTATTAGTAAAGGAAAGAGTTGTGTTTTTTTTATTTTTGGTAAAAACTTCGTATCGTAATCGTAGACTACTTTAATTTATTTTAACGCATGCCTAACAAATATTGTTCACTCCGCCATATATTATGTTTAAGGCGTTTCCTTCTTGATTTCGAGTCGATTTGTAAGTCATCTCGTCTTTTCTGTTCTGTCCAAAGCCAAAAGTACGTACTTATATTACTGAAATGCGAGTAAGCTACTCGTTTAAGCGTGGCTTGATTTGTAACTTATGATAGAATATTATGAACTTATTAAATAGAATTTGAGATGAACATTGAGCACGTACATAGATTAACGTCACGTATGTTGTTATTTACTAATAACAAGTAGATTTAAGTATATAAACTTATGCCAAAATGTTATAAGAAAATATTTTTTACAAAGGTACCTACTTCTATAAGTTTATTGTCTACTTCAACCGTCATCTCTTATTGCGTTAGAATTGATGAATTGAAATTGCACATTGAAAATTCAGGTAAAAGTCAATACAAATCATGATTTCTTAGAAAATAAGTAAGAATCTATGGTATTAAACAAGATAGATGTCCTTATAACGCAACTTACAAGTGTTACGATATTGTTGATCTAGATAACAAAATAAACAGTCAAAGTTAAGTTTCTAAACGCTACACAATATCCTTTGTTATGTCAAATTGGTAGCAATGCTCTTTATAGGGCCTACAGAGAGAACACCAACATTGTTGGCTCGTATAAAAGTTTAAACAACTAAATCCTAAACGACGGGGCCGGACTCCACGAAGTCGGAGCCCAATTAAAGTTAATTCATCATCTACGCTCGTTTGCGCGCATTAATTTCATTCTACCCTCTTCACAAGCCTCTTTCTTGTTCCCATAACACTGTTTACCTTATTATAACAATAGGGAGTAAAACATTTCCACTTAATAATTTTATTGTGAGAACAGTAAACTTTTTTCATTATAGAGAGCATTTTTTCCCAATGAGAAATACTTTGCAATAGATTAGTGCCGTTTGGTGTTGAGCCCAAGGGGTCGAAGTACCTTATTTAATGAATCGTCAAGAAACTCACCAAAGTTACTGGTAAAATTAAAACTTTTTACTTTGGATAACCATACCTTTTGGGTATAATTCATGGTGGAATAACAGTTATAGAACCAATGTTTAGTTTGATCAATTAACAGACTAAAGATTTACAGTGGCTATAATACTCATTCACCAACAATAATTTTTCATATTATTTAAAATACCCCTAATCCATCTCTGCGAATAATTAGATCGTCGGTTTAGTATCGTCCTTCTGTCAACATCTGCATGAACACTAAAATAATTAGGACTCGTACAGTGTTTGAATAGACCAATCCGTACGGTTTGCTTTGCACTTGGATTTACTGATTCGTCGTAAATTCATTTTATTCAAATGGTTTTATTTATCCAAAACATTCAAACGTCAGTCTACTATTGACTTTGGATTCTAAAAACATTGAATCGTTCATTTTGTAGTAGTATGCAAATTATAGCACAGCAGGTACGACGCGTCGTGCAGTTTTAATAAATGCGACTTTTAAAAAGTTGTCTCATAGTGTGCTGTAATAGGTTGTATTAAAACTCTTTCTAGGTATCGGTCCTCCAGATATTTGCGAAGTACAAGAGCCAGTTCAACGTGGATCTGGGCGGTGAGCATGGGCGCACTGCACTGCACTTCGCAGCCATACACGATCATGACATGTGCGCGAGAGTGTTGGTAAGAGCCTGGTGATATGACCCTCTTTGGAATCCTCCTGGATTAACTGCTAATATGAAATTAATTATATTATCATTATTTCCGGATATCCTCTGTCTATATAACTAAATTATCAGTTTTCATTCGTAAGAATGTTAAAACTTTAATATACATTATGTATCCCTACTTAAAAAAAAATTACAAATAAAAGTATTCGATTTCATAATCAATAAGTATATCAATTTTCAAGTCTTACTTTTGTACCGATGAATTTTCATAAATACCTTTAATCCCCCTTTCCCCCTGGGTTCGCCTGTAGTAAAATCTGTTCTAACGTTTCTTATCTATAAACTATTTACCTGCCTTTCAGCTCCGAGTTAAGTAGTTTTTGACATTTTTAATGTTTAGTCATTGCTTGGAAGAATCGACGACCTTTCGGCTTCAGAGTGGTTGCCTCCATCGTCATAGCAAAATCTTTTGTAACGGCCATTTTTTGTTACAAATTCATCTTTGATTACAAAATCTTCTCATCATATCCACATAGATTACTGACCTCGGTGCCGAATCCAAGCGGCCCTGCAACAACGGATACTACCCTATTCACGAGGCAGCCAAGAACGCGTCTTCTCGGGCCATGGAAGTTTTCCTCCAATGGGGGGAGTCCAAAGGATGTACCAGGGAGCAAATGATATCGCTGTACGATAATGAAGGGAACGTTCCCTTGCACTCGGCGGTGCATGGAGGAGATATTAAGGCGGTGGAGCTCTGCTTGAGGTCTGGAGCGAAGATATCAACTCAACAACACGATCTGTCAACGCCGGTGCATTTGGCTTGCGCTCAGGTAAAACCTTAAAATTTTACTAAAATTCAATACTGCTGAGTTACATTCAAAGCTATTTATTGTTTGGTTAGCATATTTTAAAATCAAAATCTATCAGCATAATATTAACAGTAATAATTATATTCCTTAGGGTGCCCTCGAGATTGTGAAGCTGATGTTTAGCATGCAGCCCAAAGAGAAAATGGCTTGCCTTATGTCCTGTGATGTCCAGAAGATGACACCGATCCACTGCGCTGCCATGTTCGACCATCCGGACATTGTCAACTACCTGATCTCCGAAGGATCTGACATAAACCCCTTAGATAAAGAAAGAAGATCTCCTTTGCTGCTGGCAGCATCAAGAGCTGGTTGGAGAACGGTGCACACGTTGGTAAGTTTGTTATTTTATAGCTATGTTGTCGAAACAACACTGTCTTTTGGGTAATAACATAATAATATAGCAAAAATAATAAACACAGCTGGCTCAAAAATTCTTTTGAGAGCCAATGGAAAGAGGACGAAAGCTACGGCAACGGCAAAACTAAAATTGCCGACGAAAAGTCCTCGTAAAGTATCTATTTTCTAACTATACTGGGAATACATCGAAGTTATTTCATTACGACTTTACGTAGCCGAATCGATATTGTGATTCCCAGACTCCGAATTGAGTAGCTATTCAACTTCATTTATAACACTGCACAACGACATTTCTGATGATTGGGTTATGTAATATGATATTAGTCCAATTTTTAATGACGATTTTAAATCTGTGATTGAAATATCTGTATCAGCTCTGGTTAAAAAAATATGACACTTGGTCTTTTTGTAAAAAAACACTTTTTTTAGAGATGATCCTATTTTATGAAGTTGTTAAGTTGAAAAAACTTTCTTTTATTTGACTTCCTTGCTGATGCTGAAGACAGACAGCTCTTCTGAANTCACTAATTCCTGCTAGCAGGATTGCCCAGTAGAAAAAATTACTCTCCTATCTATCTACTGTAGGTAGGTAATAAAAGAAAATTATGCAAAACTGTTAAAAGTTAGCATTGCATACTTTGCATAAACGTAGTGCACGATGACTGCAGTTGACCTGACCGATTGATCGCTTTGCCATTTCACATTTCTAACTTCTAGGGTGCAATCTTCTTGAAACTTCAAATTTTACATTTCAGCATTTCAGATAAAATCTTTATACCGATTTGGAAAGTTTTCATATAAGACAATTCAGTTTATGTTCATGATTCGTTATAATTATTTTTTAATAAAATTTCATTTATTATTAACAAACATTCTGATATCATAATGTTTTAAAAATATTTAGTACATCAGGATATTATTTAGAAACAAAGTATCTACTTATGCAAAGTTTTGGCTCAAATTTTCCCCACAGCATAAATTGGGCACTAACTTTCAAACATAAATGACGTTAATTGAACTTTATCTTCCTTAAATCTTCGAAAAACTTCAAGTACCTAATTTCTTTTCATATTATTATACATATTATTTCCATAACGTTTAATTTTCTACTATTATGTGTATTCTGTGGTTTAATGAGGTTCTTCATCCAACAACTACGACTAAGAGACAGAGATGTTTTTCGCACTAACTCATTCTACATTTTTGGAAAATGTTTACTGTTTTGTACTTCTGCTTAATGCTCATGAAAACTTTGAACATTAAGTTAATCAAACTAAGAATCTGACAAACAGATTATGAAACATATGTTCTTCAACACAACTGTGGAGTGGTTCAATTCCACCAAGTCACGTTTTGGGAAGTATTTTGCACAACTAATAGGTTCGATTTATCAACGCTCCGTACGGCTAGCACGAAAAACTTTAAGCTCGAATCGTTTGCGTATTCGAATCGCCATCAAAAGATTTAGTACGAAAACTACAACAGTGCGCTTGTGAACGACTGAACGTGTCGTAAAGTGAACTTAGTATGAGAAATGGGTTCACGAAACTTATTTTGAGAATCAAAATGTCACGTTATTGTTTAATTCGAAAGTTAAGTATTGAATTCTGTCGAACGAAAGACGAAAGTTGTTCATGCTAGAGGTACCGTTGTCTTCTCTCTGCTTGAGGCCATGTCGCCGCCCAATAAGTAATGCTAATGTATGTTTCTTCGGGTACTACTTGTCATTAGTCAACGTCATTGCTCTTGGACTGATGCCAGAATATATTACACCTAGGTTGTGTCCTAGAACTTGAATAATTGGACAATATCACACAGCGCTATCTAGTCCCAAAGTAAGCAATTAATATTATGCTTGTGTTTTATGGGTTCTAGCTTAACGGATATACTACATAATATATATATACTTTTTAAATGTACATAATAACTCCCAGACCCGTCACAAAAATTAAAATTCATCATTTCAATCTGCCCGGCCGGGAATCGAACACCGGGAATATTCTAGAGTTCGTTGATTTCTTCTAAGAATTATCTTAAAAAAGTTTTGGATTGCTTTCAGATTAAACTAGGTGCAGATATTCAACTGAAGGACATCAATTCAAGGAATGTGCTTCACTTGGTTGTCATGAATGGAGGGCGCCTTGAAGATTTTGCGGCCAGTTGCAAGGTACGATAATTATTTTATTATGGTAAGCTTTTTGGTAGGTAGACTAACATACTAAATATGTAGAAAGAAGCTGTTTGCCCAAAAATTTTTAGATTTGCTTGCTGAAGAAAATAGGCAGTGAAGTCTGAAACTTGAAAACTTTCTTCTAGGATCATCGATTACGTATGTGTTGTGAATATTTTTCGTTTATCAAGTTTGTATAACTTTCCGTGAAGAAATATTTAGGTAGCCGCTGACAGTCTCAGGGCTACGTAATACAATTTCTCGACCACTACCACTTACTTTTTCTCTATAAGATTTATAATGCCCTCTTTAACAGATTATTTTACTTGAGGACTTTTTCCACTGATATTGGAGAAGCTTCAATGTATTTCATAAGACAAATAAATATCTATGCTTTTTAATTTCCATGGATATTAATAATACGCTAGCAGCTAGATTTTAACCTGTCTTTGCAGATTGCCTGTCTCTGACAGTTTCAGTCATGTTTTTTACCTTTACTGGTTTTCTTGGTATTTCTTTTACTTTTTCATGTGACCTTGTATTTATTTTTTGAAGGTAATTGATAGAAAGCGGCAGATTTCTCAGGCAAAGGACAATTCCCAGCAGACCTTACTTCTTTAAAAAATACATTTACCTATGCCATTTATGAACTAACTCAATTTCTTGTTCAAAGCACTTTTTTATAATTTTTTAAATAGCGATAGAGTAATATTTTGTCTCCTCGTGCAAATTTTAAAGCGTAATCCACATAGTATTAGTATATAGAACATTATTAATCATTGGGATTACGAGTTTAAATTGCGCAGAATTACTAAAGATCTCAATTACACTATTTTTAACTGCAGTAGAAGCAGTTTAACGCATACAACTGCAAACAATAAATAATGTAAATCGAGCTCCCATCGCGCATCTGCAACTGCTCTGCAACAAGTAATTTCAACGAACAAAGTTAGTAAGTACTGACTCGGCAACCGCTCTACAAAATGGCGGTTTTTATGCAAATAAAACGGAGCATGCGTATTATCTTGTTACAAATGTGGGGCACAGACGGGCGCCGAAATTGCGAATGTCCAGCTTTCTAAATTTTTTTTTTTTTTTATCCACAACGAGGAAGCTCTTAGCCTGAATCTCACCTGATGGTAAGTGATGATCAGGCCGAAGGTCGAAGCGAGCTTCACCCGGAATCCTCAACCACGGAGGAACTGGCTATCTTACCTCTAACTGCCGGAACACAACAATGCTGTTAACTTTGTTGTTATGGCGACAGACTTAGGTAAGATGGATGGATAAATCTTGCCAGTCTAATAACTTATGAGTTGCCAGTTGGTTCAACGATCAAACAGACTTGTGGCAAAACCCGATCAACTTTTTATTGGCTACCAACTTCGCCCCCTTGATAATTACGTCCAAGAAGATAACGATCCACGTCTCACTCGAGACTTGTGTAGATGTTAAATCGATTGTTTTTCCTTACGAGTATCAAATAAACAAGTAGGTAATCTTAAAGGGGTCGATAAAGAGACCGTTGTTTAAATAAAAAGAGACAAGCAATATTGCAATAAAAAGAACCCCTTCGCTGTTCTTATTCAACCTTATTCAACCCAGGGGTAGGAGATCAAGTTACGACGTGTGTAATAAATGGTGTTCTCCTTGAACAGAAAACCAGACAGATCACACTATCGATTCTTTCGTTGATGTAGAGAAAGCATTAAGATTAATAATCAAATGCTGCCTGTTATACAATAACTAAAAGTATATCCAATTTAGAAGGTAGCTATTTACAGTATTTACGTAGCGCTCACACAATCGTGACCACTTTTAAAGATTTCGTCCATTTTGTGTCTGCTGTTGACGTATCCAATACCACTTTTTCTTTATTCAACGACGCGTACACGTAAGTTAGCGTTGAAAGTTACCTCAAATCTCGTTATTTATGTTATTGATTCTGGGAATGGTATTGTTCTTGAGATGTGTATTGAAACCATTGAGATATAATGTACTAGTAATATTACCTACTTCAAATAATGAAACCGAGAAATCTCGACGATACAAAAATAACCTTTATCCATCTTTTTGTTTCGATTGAGACCAGAAATTATTATATTAAATGGGAAAGTGGTTAGTGATACCTGTGGTGATACTTCTAGTATTTCAGATATTTAATACATAAAATTAACATGATGATAATTAAGTATATTACCGGTCTGTATCGAAGACAAAGACATTAAGCTGATTTAAGCTCCACTGACCAAAAAGATTTGGCATCAGATGTAAGCATCATCAGGCTCATTTTTAGCTTGAAAAACAGCAATTCGGTTATCTGCCTCATTTTATAAAATGTATTATGAACGCCAGGCACTGTCCATCTTCAAGCAATAACCGTTATCTGCCAAAACAATTCGGCCGCTAAAATGAATGGCACAGACCATCCAGTTCCATAGATGGTGCGAAATAACACTATGTTACTTCGAAATAATTTAATTACAATAATTTTTAATACAAACACTACCAAAATAGAAACGAATAAGTGTAAGTTAGGATTCGTTAGGCAAAGACATATTTTTTATACCCTATTAGTCTTTAAAATTTCTTTGATGTAAGAAGCAGATGTGGGCGTACCATTTATGTATGCTGAACTTTCTGATACGCGTCAACACGTGTAACAGTAGCAAATCTAAAAAGATTAAACGAACCATACTCTAAAAGGCCTCGCACAGAATTGCCGGCAGTAGGGTGATGGCTTTACAAATATTGGGACGTTTAAACGGTGCAGTCCTGTTGTCCCCCTGGCAAACATTGGGTATTTAGAAGCCATATATTTTTGTAACATTTAAGAAGTACTGGAGTACCTACCTGACTAAATGCCATATTGACAAACTAAATACCTAAACGTATGTCAAATAATAATTACCATCTTGTTACCTAACGAAAGAAATATAAGTTCTGGTACCGGTAATATTTCTGACTATTCCAAAATCTGCTTTACTTGCTTTTAACAGATCGTTATGAATTAGTAAATGCGACAGTACTTTATCTGTCTGTCTGTTACGAATTCACGCATACAACATTGAACCGATTTTGATATTTGGTAAAGAGATAGTTTTGAGTGCCGGGTCCCGGTTTTTTAAACAGGAATGCGCTCTATATTTTTTTTCTGTGACAGACAAAATCTTACGCGGACAAAGCCGTAGGCAAAAGCTAAGTATAATGCTTGACAATATTTTTTATTCTCATATATAAAAAATATTGTCTTCTGTAAAGTTGACTAAAAATCCGTTTAGTAGGTAATTTTTACGTGAAAGAGTATCAAACATCTATACTATTCCATACTTCCATTTGTAATATTCGTTAGTTTCAGCCGAAAGACGTCCACTGCTGGACAAAGGCCTCCCCCAAGGATTTCCACAAAGACCGGTCCTGCGCCGCTTGCATCCAGGTACTTCCCGCGACCTTCACCAGATCGTCGGTCCACCTAGTGGGAGGCCTGCCCACGCTACGTCTTCCAGCTCGTGGTCGCCACTCAAGAACTTTCCTGCCCCAGCGGCCGTCAGCTCTTCGAGCTATGTGCCCCGCCCACTGCCACTTGATTTTAGCGATTCTGCGGGCTATGTCAGTCACACTGGTTCTCCTACGGATCTCCTCATTTCTAATTCGATCACGCAGGGAAACTCCGAGCATAGCACGCTCCATCGCTCTTTGGGTGACCTTGAGCCTTCTTATGAGGCCCATAGTAAGCGACCACGTCTCAGAGCCATACACCATCACTGGCAACATACACTGGTCAAACACTTTTGACTTGAGACACTGCGGTATTTCGGACGTGAGAATTTCGCGAAGCTTCCCGAACGTAACTGAAAACTTCATTGACATGTCACCTTGCATGTCAGTCTATTGCTGTCAAAGTGTAAACAAACTTTATTTTAAATGTGCGCAATTGGTTTTATGAATTAAATTGCTAAAATATTTTTATAGTCGTGAAAGAAAAGTGGTTCACAATGTGTTAAAGTATTTGTCGAAGAGAAATACTAAGGGTTCGGACAATATTTTCATTGAATAATGTTTCCGACAAAGGTTGTCAAATTGACTGACATGTTTATCGTATAGTACAGTCCACTATGAAAATTAGCTGTGGTTTGTTTCAACTACCTATTTTAAAAATTTTGTCACTTTCTAAGTGTTGAATTTTATGAGATTGGGAAAGAAGTACCAAGTTTGAAGCGTTCATGAGCAGACATTGCAGTTGAATATTCAAGTTCTGAATTTGATTATTGATGAATAATAAAATAAATCTACTAGCTCGATTGATGGTTTCATTTAATTTATTTAAATCAGGTTACCTATAATAACATTTTTTCGTTAATTTATGAAAATATCAAATTAGCCCGTAATCCTGATATATAAAGTTAGCCTATTAATTTAACACAGGTACGACTGTATTCAGTGTTGCACTATCAAATGCAATTGACGCGCCTCTAATCCTCTATGCCAGGGTTTTTATGTTCCTGGTCAGGCTATACGTATTTATTATTGATTAGGACTAATGTCACAGTATATATATGAGCTAAAGCAGTACGGAAACTAAGCCCTTTCGGCGAGTTAAATACCTACACTTCAACCGAGCGTTAGGGTTGGCACTCTTAATCTTTATAAAATTAATAAGGTTCTTACTTACTTATTTATTAAAACGTTTATTTAGGTTTTTTAATTATCAAATACCTAATGGAATAAATTAATTGACTAAGTACCTAGTTAACAAAAAAATAAAACGTTAATTAGGTTCTATAATGATCGAATACATAATCGAATAAATTGATTAAGTACTATTAGAGGCCGGTAGGAGATCTATTCTCACAAATAAAATACCGGATACTTACTTTCACATACCTATTGCCTCATTTTAAATACAGTTCATCACTTAGTACAAAAGCGTGCGGAGCAAATTACTTTATCAAATAGAACACATAAAATGTTAAAAAGCGTAATTACGTAATTTAAAAAGAACTATTACAAAACCAGATGTAAGCACTTTATTTAAAAAGTAATATAATCATTTTTACAATTCAGAATTATTACGAAGTTTAAAAAATGAAAGTTCTGGTTTTGAAGATGTCGAGTTCAAGCCGCCGCACGGTGGTCCCGATTTAATAAAACATGGACATTGATGCTAGAAGCACGAAATTTTTTTTGATGGTTACTGCTATGATAACTAATAAGGCAAAAAAATATTACAATCCTACAACGTCTATTTCGTAGTAAAAAAAAATATATACATATTTTTTGTATGGAAGAAATTACGTTTCTGTAAATTTTTCGAAATTCTTAAACGATGTCAAGATGCCGCTCACACATGTTATAAAACAAGTGATTCTGAGTATTTCATGCGAAGATACTTGTCACTTATCTCTGCGTACTTTTGAGTTATCGAGGGTTGAAAAATCGATTTTTTTATATTAAATATTTCCACGAAAAATTGCCAGAATTACAATATGGTGTATAAAGGACACTTTTGATGACACATAACAACGACTCGCACTCGCGCGCGCTCGTATGCATCAACTTTTACTAAAATAAAATAAAAATTAAGGGAAATACTTAATACAAATTTGTATGTATAGGTCCGCTGGCCGTCAAAAAGTAGCTTATACGAGAGGGTGCCCAATTTACAATATGTCCATCATTGATAACTCACACAAATATCATCTCTCTCTGAAGGATAACAAGTTTTTTTTTGTTTCCAGAAGCTTTTGATAGGATGGAAGCTCATAAATACTCTCTGAAGTGAGAATGAATCTCAAATTGCGATGTTGCCATTTTGACAAATTACATGTAACTAGCGCTAACGTTTATCTTCAGATAGACACAGTTCTAAGTTAAAAGATTGTCTACTATTTTACACTGTTTTTCGTTTTGGAACAGTTCTTTGATTATAGGTAGTCGCTAATTTCGTTTTGTTAGACTCTTTCGGTTTAGCACATAAAGCGTAAACTAATTNACGTCGTAGGATTGTAATATTTTTTTGCCTTATTAGTTATCATAGCAGTAACCATGAAAAAAATTTTCGTGCCTCTAGCATCAATGTCCATGTTTTATTAAATCGGGACCACTGTGCGCCGTATACTACGCAATACACTCGTGGCATGTTTGTAAAAATACAGCGGACAGTGCATGCAATAAAATTATTATTAAAAACACAACGCGCGCGACACTCGCGACGGATGGACTGCGAGGTTCGCTTAGAGCTCGTGTAATGCGTGCGTCTGTGTGCGTGAGTCTGATTTCGAGCGTTTGTATGAAGCTTCCGTACTGTTTAATTTATCTACTGTGCTAATGTATACCATTATTTATAATTATGGAGTCGGTGTTGGAAGATTCGAAGATTTTTATAGTTACCTTGAGCTGTCACTTGACAGCCTGGCACACTTTTACGATGGTGGATCAAAGTATTTTGGTTTGACTATAGAGCGTGAGAACACGCACACAGTCATAATTATTTTAGTGTGAATAAAAATAGCATCGAAATTACCTAAACTTGACATGCCACGCTAGACGTAAACGCTCTTAACAAACGTTTAGGTATTCACTCATTTTAGGAATTTGGCATTCAGTCAAGTAGGTACTTCAGTATTTCACAAATTATGTTATAAAAATACATGGCTTTTAAATAATGTTTGCCAGGGTGACAACAGTCCTCATATCATTGAATTAAAATCTAGTCCTGTTGTCTCCCCTAGCCAGGGGGGACAACAGGATTTCGAAAGGGGGGCCAAGCAGGGGGGACAACAGGACTGCACCGTTTAAACAACCTTTTTTGGCATGAATTTCAGTACCTCTCGGAAATTATAAGTTTTTTGTGTATTCATCAGACGACTACGAGACTTGAGTCTTCCTGTGTACTCAATGCTAACATTATTAGCAGGACAAATCTGGCAATTTAGCAAAACCAAATTTATTGTTAGAAAGTACGCCACATACCTACCTATACTTTAGTAACTAAGGCTTAGTTTATGCAAAGTTCTCTGTCTGTCCAGTACTGTGCATAAATAAGTTGGAAAAATCCCTTGTATTGAACAAATAGAAAACAATGAAAACAAGATTCAATGTTTTTAAATTCTTGTGTCGTCGTGACGTCTACAGAGAAAAGTTTTCTGTGCCATATTGAAGGCAAAATATCAGGGTATTAGCTGTGGTGATAAAAATAGGAAGGGGTAATTTCGCATTGTTTTTTTCAGCAATTTTTATAAAGACTGGTAATGTTCTCATGTAACTCTTAACGTAAAATTATTGCTTATTTCATTCTCACTAACGATATTTAACAATAGCTTTTGCTTTTTCAGGATCGCTGTGAGAAAAGTTTAGCTCAGTTGCTGAACGAAAAAGATAACACTGGCTGCTCACCGCTCCATTACGCCAGCAGGGAGGGCCACATCAGGTCCCTGGAGAACTTGATCAGACTGGGCGCCTGCATCAACTTGAAGAACAACAATAACGAGAGCCCTCTGCACTTTGCCGCCAGGTAATGTCAATGTCTTTAGTTGTTTCAGTGGTGATGATAAGGGTCTCACAGTTTTTATTAAAACCAAAGGGCCAAGTCAAGAAAATCCTACTTTAACACTTGACTAGGCTAAAAAAAGGAATTGGTTTTAAAGTTCAAATTAATGTGGGGCTCTATTTAACCAAGGCCTAGTTAAGGGTTAAAACCAAACTAAGGATTTCATCATCAGCCTTTGCTAGACAACTCACCTACTGTTTATGAAGCACCAAACAGTCTTCACAAAATCCTCTTCAAGCAGGATATTCATAAACAATAACAAAGTATCCTTACCATAATATTTGAAAGATCTTGCAGTTCTAAAAATATTGAGCAAACATCATAAATCCTTTTCAGATATGGCCGCTACCACACTGCCTGCCAGCTCTTAGATTCTGACAAAGGCACGTTCATCATCAACGAGAGTGACGGCGAAGGTCTTACGCCTCTTCATATTGCTTCACGTGAAGGTCACACAAGGGTCGTCCAGCTCCTTCTGAACAGGGGAGCCTTACTGCACAGGGACCACAACGGACGCAACCCCTTGCATCTGGCTGCTATGAGCGGGTACACCCAAACCATTGAACTGCTGCATTCAGTGCATTCCCATTTGCTGGATCAGGCTGATAAAGATGGCGTAAGTTTCATTATTGTCACCATTACTTTTTTATATAATATAATATTGTGAAGCACACAGCTCGGAAAACTGAGGGCCGTTATCGCACAAAGGTTATTTGTTCTCGAGTTTCGTCAGTTTTCTCATTTGGTTATGACCTCATGAATATCACGGGAAGCACCTGTTACGTTGTTGTGTAAATTTTTGGAGGAGGCCTTTGTCAAGCAGTGGACGTCCTTTCATCATTAATCATCATTTCAGACACAGCACGTCCACTGCTGAACATAGACCACTAAATGCTTTCCATTGGTCAGTTTGTATTACTCTGCATCCAGCGCCTTCCCACGGCCTTTTTGTTTTTCACCTCTACCCGTAAGGTGAAAAGGTGAAAAGACTTCAAACGCTGCATTTGTCGGTCACTATGGTCTCCTTTATAGAACCTTGTTGCTCCATCGGCCGTCAGTTATGCGTGCTATGTGCTCGGCCCATTACTACTTCAGCTAATCCATTGACTTTAGTTTGTTTACGGATGTACCCATTTCTGATTCGATCTCGTAAGAGAGTTTCTAATTAAATGTATACCCTATAGTCTGGTCCGTGAGCACGTAGAATTTTGTCCAATGACCCCAAGCTACCCATCCTTATTGCTCGCGCGTAATTATATTGCTATCGCGCTCGCAGTGCTCGCACACTCACTGCGGGTGTCAGTCGTACAGTCGCGACAGCAATATATGTAATTACGCGCTAGCGATAAGGATGGGTAGCTAGGGGTCATTGGACTAAATTCTACGTGCTCACGGACCGGGCTTTATTTTATTTTATTTTATTTTATTTAGGATAACAAACAATTGTACAATTCAGATGTGCTGTAAAGTTATACATCGACATTTAGTTATTGTACAACCCGCACCGCTATCCCCATCTTACAAACATGCTTTGCCTCTTTGCACCACTAGCTGATTTATGGAAATGAACAGAACAATCAGTAAACAATCAGGGCTTTAGTAATTATTATTTATAACTTTCTTGAATGTTCCAGAACACCCCTCTGCACCTAGCCACGATGGAGAACAAGCCTAACTCCATAGCGCTGCTCCTCTCTATGGGCTGCCGCTTCAGCTACAACAACCTGGACATGAGTGCCATCGACTACGCCATCTACTACAAGTTCCCGGAGGCCGCGTTGGCTATGGTCACCCATGAACAAAGGTACAGCTCATTAATCATACACTTGTGATTTTCACCAATGCCTAACAATTAATCAATCTAACGACGCCTCTTGGTTGATCGCAAATATAGCAATCTTCATCCACCACTTTTTCTCAACACCAGTCCGTAATTTTGTCCCAAAGTGTAAGGTGGGTTAGCTATATTTGGGACGTTATAAGATGATGACGTTATGAAAAGGGCTTAGTACTGAATACATTTTTATTTTAGACTAGCGGCCGCCCGCGACTTCGTACGCGTGGATCCCGTTTTACCCTCTTCATCTATCTTACGCGGTTAAGATTTTTCATACAAATGTTTTTCCCGCTAACTCCCGTTCCCGTGGGAATTTGGCAATATCCTGTTGTAACTAAGCTTTAAGTTTACTAAGGTAATAGCATGCCAAATTTCAAGCTTCTAACTTAAGCGGTTTTGATTTTTCATACAAAAGGATTTTCCCGCTTATTTCCGTTCCCGTGGGAATTTCGGGAATTCCTTGTTGTAACTAAGCTTTAAGTTTACTAAGGTAGGTTACCATGTAGGTAACATGCCAAATTTCAAGCGTCTAACTTAAGCGGTTTAGATTTTTCATACAAAAGGATTTTCCCGCTAATTCCTGTTCCCGTGGGAATTCCTAAGTATACTATAACCTGCCCAGGAGTAAGAAGAATAATTGTACCAAGTTTCGTTAAAATCCGTCGAGTAGTTTTTGTTTCTATAAGGAACATACAGACGGACAGACAGACAGACAGACAGACAAAAATTTTACTGATTGCATTTTTGGCATCAGTATCGATCACTAATCACCCCCTGATAGTTATTTTGAAAATATATTTCATGTACAGAATTGACCTCTCTACAGATTTATTATAAGTATAGATAAAGAAACTAATACAAAAGAAACGCGAGTTTCGGAACGCGACATTAAACTCCTCCAACTATGTATATATGTATTCTGTGCTCCAACGCACACACGCACATTGTTTTGATAGATAATATGATCTTTGACGTTAGGAACACACCTACATTGCTTAGACAACAGTGAGTGCTTGTAACTTAATATGAACTTTATACCATAGCAATAAAGCTCAAATTGACTACGTTTTAGTTACAAATCATTTGTATGGGAAAAAGAAAAGGGCTATTTTTAGGGTTTTTCCAGCAATAATTCTAATTTTTCTCGCCGTAAAAACCATCCTTGAACTTCAACGAACATTTAAAAAAAAGATTTGGCCAAATTGGTCCAGGCGTTGTTGAGTTATGCGCTTACCAACACATTTTGCGATTCATTTTTATATTATAGATTTTTTAATATTCTGGGCTTAATAGTATGCAGAATATACAGGGTGTCTCAAAATTAGCACGTCTGAAACATATCGAACTAGCCTAAGCCATTGAAACTCAAGCCTGAGCCATTGGATTTTTTTTAATACAGTGGTGGCGTGCAATCGATTCACTCTGATATTATTATTCATTTCAATTGCAGAGCCAAGGAAGTGATGGCTCTTCGCTCAGATCGCCACCCGTGCGTGACGTTAGCTCTGATCGCTTACATGCCGCGTGTCTTTGAAGCGGTCCAGGACCGGTGCATCACCAAGGCCAACTGCAAAAAGGATTCCAAGAGCTTTTACGTGAGTCTGGAAAATTGTAATTATAGCAGTCATATGGTAAGTTAAAAGCAACCATAATAGATCGAGAACGTACCTATCCAAAGCGATCCGCGAGCAAGGTAACATTGCAATTATGAAATGCCAAAGTTATATTGTTTATACCTACGTTTTAGTCTAAAAGATTGGCAGTTATTTTTTAACTCGATATATTTTTGCTACTTTCTACGACAAAAATACACAAATTATTCGGAATATCGATAGATGCAGTCTATTTTACTAGGTCCACTGCAAATAAATATCTTTAAAAAGAATTTACCTACGCTTAATTAATATTGATGCTGATCATGCTAAATAGTACTTGTAGACTTTAAGCACTCTTGTTACACAACTCATTTAAAGTACAGTTACGGACAAAAAAATATTCATTTACACTTTGTAAGTAATACTAACCTATTTACTAAATTTAGATCAAGTACAACTTCGATGCGCTATGTCCTCAATTAAAGGACGAAGACGGCACAAAGAAAACCGAAAGCGTTCCGAAATCGCAGAAAATACCGTTACCAGCTCTCAACGTAAGTGCCACAACAATTTGATACTGATTCTGTTTTTTTTCGCTTCGTGCAGATTAAGTACTCTTTCAAACACTACCAACGCTCCAAACTTGAGGTAGACGCCATGAGACTGGCGCTAAACAACCCAAAATACCGTCCAGAACCGTTGTGTGTTATCAACGTGAGTCAGACCTAGCGCAATGCTTGACTGTGTGTATTGATGCCACGAAATAAGTGTTGTTCCAACCTATTTTGAATATGTTTCTAAACCCTGATAACCGTTTCTTCAAAGCTTTGGAGAAGAAGTTCTACTATTCCCAAATATAAATGCAGATTGTTAAATTACTTCAATACTCATTTTAACAAATAGATCAAATAGAGATATGGTTTGATGAGCAAGCAATATTGATGTTAAAGTCACTAAGACATATTTTGTCGCCTAGGTATAGTTCCAAAATACTGGACTGTCCTGTCGATGACATTGACAGTGGGGCGCCACCGTCAATACCGGATCGCTGGTTCAGATTTTTGCCATGTTGGAAACCATATAGTTGAACGATGGTAGCGCCCCCCTGTCATTGAGTTTGGCGGGACAGTTCAGCGCGGGTCATCTATAAAAGAAGAAATTGATTTCTAAACTACCTATTTTACCGATTCAGATAGTAAAAGAGATTATGAGTAAAAAGTATGACCAACTGGTTTCATGGCATCAAAATAATCATTCACAGCAAAGCTTCCTCACCACGACTTGGTGATTTTGGTGGTTTCAAGCTTATTTGTCAAATTACTAATGTAAATATTAACACCGTCTATGTCTAATCTGCACTATTTATTGTGGTTTTACAACTTACTGATGTAAATTTTGAATTATGTGTATGGTGACTGGTTTTTCATTAATTTTGAAAGCTATTTTTAATAAGTAATACCTAATAATACATACCTGATAATTTTTCAGGCGATGGTTGCTCATGGCAGAGTTGAACTCCTAGCTCATCCATTGAGTCAAAAATATCTACAAATGAAATGGAACTCCTACGGAAAGTACTTTCACCTGGCAAATCTCCTGTTTTACTGCATTTACCTAATATTTGGGACAGTTTATACATATCTATTGATGGCAAACGTCGATCCGAGTACAGCAGCTGTAGTAAAACCGGTTACATGTAATTCTCCTGTTTTAAATCTATCAGACGATAAGATAATTTCAGAACGCGTGGAAAATAGTACAACTATTGATAATAATAGTAAGCCAATAGGTAAGTCAAAGATGCACATTGACCAATAAACCATAGTAGTAACTTAGTACTAAAGTAGAGCACAATACTTTTTTTGATAATCGCCTGAATCAGCAAATTGATTTCAGATTTTGAAATCATGGTGGCAATGTACACAAGCACAGTAGCGATAATAGTCTACAACGTAATCTGCATAATACGAGAGGCGTATAATCTGAAGCAGCAGAAATGGCACTACCTAGTCGACCCATGTAACTTGGTCTCATGGATGTTGTATATCAGTTCCACTCAGATGGTCTTTCCGACCCTATTCGGAGGTTTCTATGACATACAAGTAAGATTTTTTATAGAGTTCTATAAACAGTCGTAAGGGACTGTGCAAGGAGCATATTTAGTACCACAGTTTTATTTTACAACAAAAAATATTTACATTATAGACAATAATGTTCATGGAAACATCTTAAACTTGTATGCCTATTTTTCAGTTTTCTGCAGCCGCTATAACAGTTTTCCTCTCCTGGTTCGAGCTACTGCTTTTACTTCAACGCTTCGACCAAATTGGCATATACGTGGTGATGTTCCTGGAGATCTTGCAGACGCTGATCAAAGTCTTGATGTTGTTCTCGATTCTGATCATTGCGTTTGGCCTGGCATTTTTCATACTTCTATCTAAAGTGGGTACAGAATTGATTTAATAAATTTTCTTGAGGCTTTGCGTTCATGACGTCATGAAAATTAAATTCAATGATAATCTGGCCTATTAGGTGAACCGTTTCATAAATTTAACATGAACACAACGCGAATTTCTTTCCAAATTGCAAAGCGAAATTGTTAAATTGGCAGTGAACAAGTAGGTCATTTATCTGTGCAAGATCCAAATTGTTAATGGCTTCAATTAGATTATTAGATGGGCGGACAAATTGTTTGTTTACTCGTTACTTACGTTACATTTTTCCAGGGTCACCATTTATCATTCAGCACAATTCCCATGTCTCTCATGCGTACTTTTGCTATGATGCTTGGAGAAATAGATTTTGTGGGAACGTACGTGCAGCCGTACTACAACAAATCCGAAACGGACGTCATACTACCGTTCCCGATGCCGACATTTTTCATACTTGCACTATTCATGGTGTTGATGCCAATTCTTCTGATGAACCTCCTCATTGGTTTGGCTGTGGGTGACATTGAAAGTGTGAGGAGGAATGCACAGTTGAAGAGATTAGCGATGCAGGTGATATTATAACTCCTACAATAAATAAAAACTTTAAGATACAATAATCTAACGTTGCTCTTCAAAACTAACCTTTGATCATCTTCGTGTTTCAGGTAGTACTTCATACAGAGTTGGAGAGAAAACTACCAGCGATACTATTGGAGAAAGTTGATAAAGATGAACTTATTGAATACCCAAATAATAAATGCAGCAAGCTGGGTTTTCTGGACTTGATCCTTCGCAAATGGTTCTGTAACCCTTTCACGGATGATGGTATGTATGTTAATTTACACAGTTAATAATTCGATGTAATTTATTTTTTCATATTATTTTCTATCAACATTTTGAGTACACTTTTATCATAATTTGAACAAATATTATGTACCCTATTTTAAATTATGGTAATTGCTTTCATTAATTTCACTAATACTCATTTCTAAGTTCTAATTTATAAGCAAACCTCCAGTTAATATGACGATACTGGTTCACTTTAAAATTTTAAAGCTGGTTTAGACCTAGTGCTGGAGAGTAGCGAGGACTACATTACGGCGGAGCTGGAGAAACAGAAGCGGCGGCTGCGCGACATGTCGCAGCTCATGGAGCAGCAGCACACGCTCATCCGGCTCATCGTGCAGGTCAGTCCACTTACTTGACTTACGGGACCATTCCCACCTCTCGTTCCCACCACTGCAACTCCTGTGCAGCTATCTACAGCTTGGATCTACAGCTTGACCGCCACAAAAACCCAACCAATGAAGGTCAAGTTTGTCCCGGGGAAAAGTTAAACTGTCATTGGACCCGCAACGAAATTAATCAGCAGACTTACTTGACTTAAGATCCTATGTCCCCTATATTCGGCAGATGGCGTCCACAACAGTCCTCCATCGTGTTCGGTCTTGAGCTTCGCGTTTGATCGCATTCCATGTCTTGCCGATTCTCTTCGCCTCGTCTGCTATAGTGTGCCGCCAAGTTTGCTTGGGGAAACCACGTTTACGTTTTCCTTGGGGGTTCTAATCCAGAGCCTGCTTGGAGATGTGATCGTGATCCCTTTGGAGAGTGTGGCCAATCCAATTCCACTTGCGGCGCTTGATGTGCTGGTCAGTTGCTAAGCATTTTTACTCTTAATAAGGGTTCCATGTCAGGACTGCAAAACCCTAAAAATGGCCCATCCTTATGTATGAAACCCGTCGACCCCATAAAAGCGAGTAATGTTTGACTCACTAAAGATACAGTGTGTTCCCACTACGTTCCTCACGTGTGTTCTTAAATGCCCTCCGATGGGAAAAGCTAGAAACCATGGAGTCATTCCAGCTCACGACCAAGACGTCTTCCGTGGTCGTCCTTCCATTCACGATCTCCAAGCTCCTGCTATAAGGGGGAGCCAATGGGGACAGGGTTTACATAATGAGTTTTATGGGTTCTGAAACATTTCCTAAATTCTAACTATTTTTTTCCAGAAAATGGAGATCAAAACCGAAGCTGACGACGTGGATGAAGGGGTGTCCCCTTCAGACACAAGAGTGATCCCTCGATGGAGTTCCCCTCGCATCCGCAAGAAACTCCGAACAGCTCCCTCTTTCAACAAAGGAGGGTAATCTAACGCGTAGGGATAAAGGTCAAGTTCATACCCTTCTATTTTATCGATTGCACGCAGCTTCCAAGTAACCCATATTCCTTCGTTTGACCCATATTTTGCGTAGCGACATCTGTTCTTTAGGTTCTGAATTACAAACTTGTTGCGTATTTGGTTATAATCGGAAACTAATTTTGTATGCAGTTGTTTCTGCTAAATATAATTTAATAATTAGGTATATAAGTAACTTAAAAAACTGATTTGCTTTAGTCATTAAACTAGTTATTATAACCAAAATTATAGAACTGGGAGCTATTTTATTGCCATCTATACAATTTTGTCTACACCGCTTGAAGGATACAGTCTGCTATAAAAATAAGGCATGGAAACTCACGAGAATGAGTTTTCATTTTCATTTGTGCCTACTAGAGGTCGGGCCCATGTGCAAAAGTAAAGATACGTTTGGTTATGCTTTTTTGTCTTTATTTATAGTTTGCTTTGCGACTTATGTTTAGTTTTTAGTTCTACTTTACAGATAATCATAATACTTACATTATACTTTCGAAGATTCATTGTAAATGTATATCAATTTAAAAAAAAATAATACCGTCAATTGATCTAGTAACAGTCTATCAGAGATCTATCAGTTTCTATCACAATTCATAAACTAATGAATAAAATTAATTTGCTGGTAGTACCTAGAAGTTATAATTTGATTAATATTCAAGATCCTGAATTAATTTTAATTATGCCGGCCGTTTGATGTAGTGGTTAAGAACGGACTGCTATGCCGAGAGGTCCCGGGTTCGATTCCCGGCCGGGCAGAAATTGAAATTAGCTATGAGAATTTTAATTTCTGTGATGGGTCTGGGTGTTACTATTTATGATATGTATCTATGTATTTACAAAAAAAATGTATTTAAGTATGTTTATATCCGTTGTCTAGTACCCATAGTTCAAGCTTTGCTTAGTTGGGGACTAGCTGGTGCTGTGTGTAATTGTCCAAAGATTTATTATTATTTATTACGGATAATTAAATAGGGTCCGTACACCTGTTAGTTTTCATCCACCGTCCTGTTCGCATCCTGACGACGGATCACTTTTCAAATCCTCTTCAGCTAACAGAAATATGCTAATAACCATCTATGTATTTACCAACACAGTAACCAAAACCAAAAGTTATTTCTATGAATTCAAAAAGTATTTTATATTTTTTAAGTCGCTCAATAGTTTGAAAAATAAAATGTATGATGACTCCATTTTCTTTTTATTTTAATACCTGGATATAATATTTGCAAATTGCATTACTTATCTCACTAATATTTCATTTTATAAATGAATGGACGCAATATCTACAGGTGGACACAATGAGGAAAATGCTTGTTTCAGTTATTGGTCGATTTATAAAGTTAAGAAAAAGATGTTTTGTTAAAAAATATGCATTCCATAAACTCAAAAAGACCAATAACAATTCATGGCCTCCATTTTTTGTTCATAATAATAATACTATTAAAACGCAAACACTTCTAATTTCTCTCTCGAATTTACCAACTTGACCGAATGGTATAACGACCCAAATCACATTGATTGATCAGTTTTTAAGAACCTTCTTAACAAGTAAAAACATAACCTTTTGTTCTTGCATATTTTATTAATCATTTAATAAGAATCTTAAGTGATATAAGGTATGTTTGTATTTAATTTAGTTCAGTAAGATAATTATTCATTATAAATAGTACTTTTACTACTGTTACCAAATTAGAATTTAAAGTACCTAAGTATATACCAATTAAGCAGCGAAAAAGTGTTAACTGTAATTTGGTATATTAAATTAATGTATTAATATTTACTATGTAGATGTTGTAAGTACCTACCTAGTCAAGAAGGACCGCAGACCGCCTATAATTGGCATTACTTGCTAACATATACATTTATATTATAAGCAAACTTGTAATTATTTATAAGATAATGCTGTAGATTTTTCCTATAAATAAATAAACAAACACAATACATTATAAGGATTTACTGTTTACAAAACAGATAAAATTAAAGTTAAACAACATGAATGGCAGGATTAAATGAAATAATGTAGATTATGTATTTTTATAAAACGAAATAATAATATCCAGATTACTCTGTAATTTTTTTGTTCATAGGTACTTTAAGACATTAAAATTTGTAAACAGTGAATTTTGTAAAAAAATAACAATTTTTAATTTTGATAGTAAAGCGATGCTTTTTATGTTGTTTTTTTAAGGCTTTAAATTTTGTTTGAAATGTCTGCAAAAAGATAACACAACCAATTAGGTAGGTAGCTGAAATGGCCGAAATAACACTTTTTATTCGACATTAATACTATCTTGTCAGCTTGAATAATTAATAAGGACATAAATAAAACTAAATGCTTAATGCCTTGTCTGACGTCATACTGTATAATTATTAATCATAATAATTATACAGTATAATACTTCTAACAGCGTTGCATAAATAATGTTATTATAGCCTGACCAGGAATATAATAACCCTGGCATAGAGGCGCGGCAATTGCATTTGATAGTGCAACACTGAGTACAGTCGTACCTGTGTTAAATTAATAGGCTAACTTTATGTATCAGGATTCAGGATTAGGGGCTAATTTGATATTTTCACAAATTAACGAAAAAATATTATTATAGGTAACCTGGTTTAAATAAATTAAATGAAACCATCAATCGAGTTAGTAGGATTTATTTTATTATTCATCAATAATCAAATTCAGAACTTGAATGTTCAACTGCAATGTCTGCTCATGAACGCTTCAAACTCGGTACTTCTTTCCCAATTCCATAAAATTCAACACTTAGAAAGTGACAAAAACTTTAAAATAGGTATTTGAAACAAACCACAGCTAATTTTCATAGTGGACTGTACTATACGATAAATATGTCAGAGTCAATTTGACAACCTTTGTCGGAAACATTATTCAATGAAAATATTGTCCGAACCCTTAGTATTTCTCTTCGACAAATATTTTAACACATTGTGAACCACTTTTCTTTCAAGACTATAAAAAGATTTTAGCATTTTAATTCACAAAATCAATTGCGCACATTTAAAATAAAGTTTGTTTACACTTTGACAGCAATAGACTGACATGCAAGGTGACATGTCAATGAAGTTTTCAGTTACTGTTGCCATTAAAAGAAATTAGTACCATTAGTTTTCCGCAACATGGCGAGGGTTTTTATGTTCCTGGTCAGGCTATAAAAACTACGGAAGGCACTTTAACATAAAAAGGAAATAATGAAGATGCCTTTAAAATAACATAGAAGACACAGTTTAAAGAGGCCGGAAGTTTATTTTCCTCTTGTTTCCTTGGACGTGAAAGAAAATGACATTATTTTGCATTAGAAGGACCGACAAAGCGAAAGGTACATCCTCATCTGCTTCCTTTCCGCACCTTTCAGTTATCAGTTAGAGTAGGCGCACACCGATGATTTTTAGTTGGCCGATAGTTGTGCCCGATTTTAATTTGTATGAAGAATCGGTTAAATCGAATCGGCTTAATGTGCGCACTCCCATACATGCCCATACTGATCAACTGCCCGACTAAACTATCGGCCGACGAAAAATCAACGGTGTGCGCCTACTCTAAAAGGTACAATTTATAAGTTGATGCTTACATTTTCTTAATGTTTACGATAATGCAATGTAAGGGTAAGGGCATAGCTGGGCATTAACTCGTTAATCCGTTAATCGTTAATTAACGAAGTTAACATTTCTATTAACGGATTAACTTTTAAGTTAACTTTAAAAATTGTTAACGGACTCGTTAACTTCCGTTAAATAATCAAGTCCGTTAATCGTTAATCCAGTACCTACTATTTACCAAAAAGATACAGCAGGCACGCTGAAAAACGCTAGGAAAATGCGTTCTGACAAGTACGTTCGGGCTTCCAGAACTTGCAGAACCCAAAACAACAGTTTTTGTAAGTAGATCACTAACGAAATGATATAAAAATGATATTTTTTATTTATTTATTTATTTAATTCCAAGCTTTATTTTTTTTTTACTTCACTTGTTATAGCCTGACCAGGAACATAAAAACCCTGGCATAGAGGCGCGTCAATTGCATTTGATAGTGCAACACTGAGTACAGTCGTACCTGTGTTAAATTAATAGGCTAACTTTATGTATCAGGATTCAGGATTACGGGCTAATTTGATATTTTCATAAATTAACGAAAAAATATTATTATAGGTAACCTGGTTTAAATAAATTAAACGAAACCATCAATCGAGCTAGTAGGATTTATTTTATTATTCATCAATAATCAAATTTAGTACTTGAATATTCAACTGCAATGTCTGCTCATGAACGCTTCAAACTCTGTACTTCTTTCCCAATTCCATAAAATTCAACACTTAGAAAGTGACAAAAAACTTTAAAATAGGTAGTTGAAACAAACCACAGCTATTTTTTCATAGCGGACTGTACTATACGATAAACATGTCAGTCAATTTGACAACCTTTGTCGGAAACATTATTCAATGAAAATATTGTCCGAACCCTTAATATTTCTCTTCGACAAATACTTTAACACATAGTGAACCACTTTTCTTTCACGACTATAAAAAGATTTTAGCAATTTAATTCACAAAATCAATTGCGCACATTTAAAATAAAGTTTGTTTACACTTTGACAGCAATAGACTGACATGCAAGGTGACATGTCAATGAAGTTTTCAGTTACTGTTGCCATTAAAAGAAATTAGTACCATTAGTTTTCCGCAACATGGCGAGGGTTTTTATGTTCCTGGTCAGGCTATAGTATGTGTGATACAAATCTTGCAACTGAATTTATAAAAAGTTTTCCTCAACCGATTGAGCTGAAATTTGGTATAATTATGTAAGTACGATGACAATGCAATGTTATGGTACCATTAAGCTGGTCTGATGGTGGAGTCAGGAGGTGGCCATAGGAACTCCTAAATGAAACGGCAGAAGCGCATCGAATTTGGGTTCGTTGGATTTGTCTTTTTCTAAAGTGCTCGACTTTAGTACTAGATAATGTCCATGGTCCTGATGATGGAGTCAGGAGGTGGCCATAGGAATTCCTAAACGAAACGGTGGAAACTTATCGAGTTTGGGACCAAGGCTCTGAGATTGAGATACTAATAATAAAATATGTAAAATAAAATTATAATATTAAAAAACTTTTTTAAAAACAAGCTTTTATTCTGAAATGCAATTACTTGTACTAAAACGAAAAAAATAATTGTACTAATGCAAGGTTCAAATAATTTCGCAAGCTAAAAGAGAAATAAATTCCATGCGCCATACAAGCTTTCGAAATTATTTGAACCTTGCATACATTTTATTTTTCGTTTTATTATCATGTGTTAACGGATTAACGATTAACGTTAACTTGCGTTAAATCTTGCGAAATATAACGTTTTAACGTTTAACGAAGTTAATTTTTTTATTAACGGTTTAACGATTAACGAAGTTAACTATTTGATTAACGGTGCCCAGCTATGGGTAAGGGTGTCAAAACGATAAGAAAAATGTAATATCCTTCACAATTTTCTTTTTGCATCAGTTGAAAGCGAAAGCTCACGATGCGTTGCGGTATCGCACCGCAAAGATTACCGTATCGCGCCGCGCGGCCCGCCACACTACTAATATTATAAACTAGCTTTTACCCGCGGCTTCACCCGCGTGAAATTTAGTTTGTCACATATCGTCATAAATTATAGCCTATATGTTATTCTGGGTTATAAACAATAATACTGTAAAGTTTAATCAAAATCCGTTCAGTAGTTTTTGCGTGAAAGAGTAACAAACATCCAGACATCCAAACTTTCGCATTTATAAATTAGTAGGATGCGAAAGTTTGGATGTCTGGATGGATGTTTGTTACTATTTAACGCAAAAACTACTGAACGGATTTTGATGAAACTTTACAGTATTATTTTTATTACCACCCAGAATAACACATAGGCTATAATTTATGACGATCTGTGACAAACTAAATTTCACGCGGGTGAAGCTGCGGGCAAAAGCTAGTTATTTCTATGTAAGGGTTATGACGCGACGCAGCGCAACAGACTAATGGGGCCTCACGCTCAGACTACGCAGCGACACCGCTCCGGCGTCGCACCGCTGCCGCAACGTATCGTGTGCTTTGGCTCTGATGCAATGTATGCTTTATGAGCTTGATCCGCATTGCATTGGATTACTTTTGTAGTGGATCCTTGGACAATTCATTTTTTCCATATTTATCTTTTCCCTGACACTTAACTTAGTATTCGTTTTGATAAGAG